CGAGAGTTAAGAAGTCAGTATCTTATTCAGTAATCGTGTGAGGTGCGCTTGGGTAATGACTTATTGTTAGCAAAGGTTTTCCAATTAGATTCACATAAGAAATTTACCTAGGTTTACATCGAACACTTATCCTAGAATTTCTTCGTAAATTAGTCGTTGGAAGCTGTCATAAATACATGAAATGACTTGCGAAAAGAAACAAATACTTTTTTCTTGTTCTTTTACTTTATGAAACTATGTATGAGAGCTTCATGATATCCTATCATATTTGTCGATTAATATTTCGAAGTAAAGAACTTTTTCAGTCGCAAGTGCCCGAGGCTTGTATCTGAAGAATCATGTAACCCTTGACGCATTCGCTACCGTAGTCCTTCATGGCAAAGGCTCATTACGAAGTCGAGCCATAACCGAAGTGACGAATACAGAAGGCGATTGTCGATGGGATGAACATTGTGAATTGTTAGTTGTTGAATCACATTAGAATCCATGAATATTATTTGGCTTTTTCAGCAAACTTAATGACAAATCCTCTCATATTACAATAACTGTTTCGCATAAGACGAAGTTTGGTGGTGCAGGTAAGACACCATTTTTGAGGGATAAAATTGTTATTCATGAAAAATTTCTGCAGATGTTATTGGAAAATGTGAAATTCCAATCGAACAAGCCAAAAGAGTTGGTGGACACATGTGGTTTGCATTAAAGAAGAGGAAAGATGATGATAAATACAGGTGAATGATTGACAAGATTTGTTTTTCTGCAGCTCCTGTTTGTCAGCTGTTCATTCTGTTTTGCTGTTCATTTTCCCCTACGATTTTCTAGCTCTCTATTGATTTTTATAGAGGCGAGATACAACTGCAATTCACTTTTTCGTACGAGAAACCGTCGCTCTCAATATCGAACACGTCTCTCAACAAAATTGAAAAAGGTAAGTGTTATTTGAGTGGCCTTTTGAGTGGGAAGAAAAAGCTTTACGGAGGGGAGGGGGCTACGAGCAAATGTCATTTTGCGTCTATAGCACTTTTTCCCCTTCATCCGCTTTCCCCGTCTTGCTGGCCTGATTTGCAGCGATTATTCCTAGTAAATCTCGTTATCGCGTAGCTTCACTCCCCTTGTTGATAGAGA